GTTCCCCCCTTTGTGAAAGATGATTTATTATTGGCAGAACTGTCGAGGCATGGAAAAATTGTCTCTAAAATGAAAAAAATCCCCTTGGGTTGTAAGTCACCCCTTCTGAAACATGTTGTATGTTTTAGACGTCAGGTTCACATGATTTTGAAAAGTGAAACAGAAGAGCTTAGTGTGGCCTTTAAATTTAAGGTTGACGGATATGATTATGTTGTTTTTGCCTCATCTGAGACAATGAGGTGCTTTGGATGCGGACAAGAGGGTCATTTGAGGCGTTTTTGTAAGGAAAAGAATGAGAATATTGCACCTGCTCAGGATGGTGGTGGAGCAGTTGAGGAAGAACAGGTAGAAGATGAAGTGAGAAATGATGGGAATTTGACAGAGGTGATGGTTGAAGAGGTGATTGATACAGACATGGGAGAGAAAGGTGGGGATGGAGAAGGCGTAAATGCTGAATTCAGTAATGTGATTGAGATGGCTGAGAGTGTTTTAGAAGGAGAAGGAGAAGGAGAAGGAATGTGTAATGAACTAGGGAAGGAAGAAGAGGTTTTTAAAACCCCTTCAACTAAAAGGAAAAGAGTAAAGCCCAACATAGAAAGACCTGGGAGCAGCAGCAACAAATTTGATGATGGTGAACAAAGTACATTGGAAGACTCTGATAGTGAGGTAACTGGCAACAGAAATAGTGGCAGACTGAGGAGTGATTACTCCTTTGGAAAAATTAGATCGTTTCTTCAAAAGACGAAGAACATGAAAAATGTTCAAGTTGTTGATTTTTTCTCTGATCGTGAAATGTTTATTGAGTCAGTTGGAACAATGATGAGGGGTGAAGGATCTGAACAATTTACAGTGCAAGAGATTTTTAGGCTGAAAAAATTTGTTGCCAAATTGAGACGAGAATTACAAACAGAAAATGGTTTTGAAACAACATAATTATTCTGGTTTCAGTCCTTTAAGGATTGTTTTTGTTTTTTGTTATACTCTTTTCTTAATGGGGGTGATAAGGCTAGGATCACTTAATCTAAATGGTGCAAGAGATATTAAAAAAAGAATGCAGTTGTATGAGTTAATTAAACATAAAAATATAGACGTAATGTATGTACAGGAAACTCATAGTGATTGCAGCAATACCATTGATTGGGAAAAGGAATGGGAAGGAAAAGTAGTATTAACACATACGAGTTCTAGTAGAGGTGGTGGTGCTATTTTGTTTGCTAAACATTTTTTGCCTGTATCTTATCAAATAGAAGAAGTAATAGCTGGAAGACTTGTTATAATAAAGACGGAATTTGAAAAATATAGGATAAATTTTATAAATGTGTATGCTCCTACAAATGGTACAGAAAGAGTTATTTTTTTAAATAGCATAAATACATTATTACAGAACTGTAGAACTGATGATTATGTGTTTTTGGGAGGAGATTTTAATTGTACCGAAAATGAAAGATTAGACAGGAATCATGTAGAGCCTCATGCAAATTCAAGTCGAGTACTTCGTGAACTAATAGAGACACACAGTTTATGTGATATATGGAGAGAATTTAATGGAAATGTGAAACAATATACATGGTTACATACAAGAGAGAATTTTATTTCAATGGCTAGACTTGATAGATTTTATTGTTTTAAACATCATGTAAATGTTGTGAGAAAATGTGAAATTGTACCAGTTGGCTTTACTGATCACTCATTGGTTTTATGCCAGGTTTTTATTGCAAATGTTAAAGTTAAAAGCGCTTTTTGGCACCTTAATACATCGTTGTTAAGTGATCTGAATTTCAAAGAAGTATTTTGTTTCTTTTGGGATCAATTTAAATTAAGAAAGCAATGTTTTAGTGATTTGAGACAATGGTGGGATTGTGGAAAAGCCGAAATAAAATTGTTTTGTCAACAGTATGCTTTCAATGTTTCCCGAGATATTACTCAAGCTATGAGAAAACTGGAGTCTGAAATTATAGATTTACAAGGATTGGCTGAACTTAAAATAGAATCAAGACAAGCTGAGAAATTAAAGTCCAAAAAATCTCTTTTAGCGAATATGCTTGGTATAAAGGCACAAGGAGCATTGGTGCGGTCAAGGTACCAAAATTTAACACAAATGGATGCTCCTTCTAAATTTTTTTTCAGTCTGGAGAAAAAAAATGGCCAATGCAGGTACATTCACTCCTTATGCGCTGAAAATGGTCAGGTATTGACGGACGCAAGTGATATAAGACGGAGAGCCGTAAGGTTCTATAGTGAACTGTTTAAGAGTGAATGTGAAGAAAATGAATTGTTATCTGCCAGTTTTTATGAAGGACTGCCTAAGATTGCTGAAGACTCAAAAGTGCAACTGGACAGACCCTTATCTAGTCAGGAGCTTCTGAATGCCCTCAAAGATATGGAGGGTGGGAAGTCTCCTGGTATTGATGGACTCCCGGTGGAGTTTTATGAGGAATTTTGGTCTGTAATTGGTGAGGACTTGCTAACTGTTCTCAATGAGAGTTTGGCAGAGGGCTCTTTACCTTATAGTTGCAGAAGAGCAGTTATCACACTGCTTCCTAAGAAAGGCAATCTACAGGAAATCAAGAACTGGCGTCCTGTAAGTTTGTTATGTACTGACCTGAAGATTTTTTCCAAAGCCTTGGCCAACAGACTGAAGGATGTAATGAAACAAGTTATTCATATGGATCAGACCTATTGTGTGCCAGGTAGATCTATTTTAGATAATGTTCATTTGATTAGAGATGTTTTGGATATCTCAGACTTTATGGGTGTGGACTTAGGACTTATATCGATTGATCAGCAAAAGGCTTTTGACAGAATTGAGCATCAATATCTGTGGAAAACTTTAGAGTCATTTGGTTTTGGGTCTAAATTTATAAAAATGATTCAAGTGCTGTACAATAATGTTGAAAGCATGCTAAAAGTCAATGGTGGTTTAAGTGCTCCCTTCAATATTAGCAGAGGTATACGACAAGGGTGCGGGCTCTCAGGGATGTTATATTCCCTGGCTATTGAACCATTGCTAGCTAAATTAAGGAGCAGGATTGAGGGTTTATCATTACATTGTATAGAGTCTCAACATAAAGTGTCAGCATATGCTGATGATGTAATGGTCTTGGTTAACAGTCAAAAAGATATTGATGTTTTGGTCTCTGTGGTTAAGAATTTTGGTTTAATTTCATCAGCTCAAGTAAATTGGGAAAAGAGTGAGGCCTTGGCAATTGGAAAATGGGAAGAAGGTTTACCAGAGTTGCCTGGTCAAATGAGATGGAAAAGAGGTGGTTTCAAATATTTGGGGATATATCTTGGTGACGAAATTGTAAAACAGAAAAATTGGGAGGGAATTGTGGAAAAGATAGAGGGCAGACTTAAAAAATGGAGATGGATTCATTCTCAATTATCCTTTCGAGGAAGAGTGCTGGTGATAAACAATCTAGTGGCATCAACATTGTGGCATAAATTGTCTTGTATCGATCCACCTGCTGGCCTTTTGTCAAAATTGCAGTCAATTATTGTAAACTTTTTTTGGGATAAGCTGCACTGGGTACCTCAAAGTGTGTTATACCTGCCCAAGGATGAAGGAGGGCAGGGCTTAGTGAATCTGCAAAGTAGGCTGTCTACTTTTCGCCTACAGTTCATTCAAAAGCTCGTAAAAGGATCTGATTTGGTATGGCGAACGACAGCTAAGACAATTTTGCAAAGAGTTGAAGGTCTTGGATTGGACGTTGTACTTTTTTTAATGGATTCCAAGAACATTTGTTTGAACGGATTACCTTCATTCTATTGTGGACTTTTTAAAGTATGGAGACTCTTTTCTCTTTGCAGACTGGAAGAAACATGTTCTTTGTTCTGGTTACTTGAAGAACCCTTGGTTAAAGGAGCCAGGCTTGATATAACGGATGAGAGCATGTTGGGACTTACTCAAATATTGTGTTCCTCTGGAACTGTTCAACTAAAACACGTAGTGGATGTGGCTGGGACTGAACTTAATAATGTGGATGCGGTTACCAATTTGCTGAGACAGAGATCAACTCGTCAAACGGCAAAGATAATTGAACTTTGGAAAAAAAGACTAACTGAAAAGGATATGGATTTGCTAAAAGGACTGAAGGACGGGTCAATAATCCCGAATCAAGCAGATCCCTTTCCAAAAATTGGTCTTACGCCAGACTTTAAAGGGACATCAGGACTTTTGCTACAGCTGGAAGGGGTAAAAGATGTGAATTTAACTATGATGCAGGGTAAAACAATGTATAAATGCTTTGTGAAAGTGTACAATAAGAAAATTCTAGACAAAAGGAATGATACAGTGTGGAGAACTAAACTCGATTTAAATGAGGGGGAAAAACCAGTGTGGCGAGTTTTATATAAACCACCATTGACAAAACGTGTGGGGGACTTACAATGGAGGATTTTGCATGGCATTGTGGCAGTTAATGCTTTCATATCTGTTGTTAATTCTAGTGTCGATGACAAGTGTATTTTTTGTGGACATAGAGAGACTGTATATCACTGCTATCTGGAATGTACACGCTTAACACAATTGTTTGACATGTTGAGCAGAGTTTTCCTTAAATGTGGAGAGAATTTTACTCAATCTAAATTTATTCTGGGTGCTGGCTATAGTCAGAAACAAAAAATGAAATGGCAGTTAATTAATTTTTTAGTTGGTCAAGCAAAACTTGCTATACTTATTACAAGAAGAAACAAAATAGATAATGTACATGGTCAAGAGATTTTGATAGTTTTTAAAGCATTTGTAAGGTCCAGAGTTACAATAGACTTTAAGTATTACAAGGCCTTAAATAATGTTGAAACTTTTGCACAACAGTGGTGTTATGGGGATGCTGTTTGTAATGTGGTGGAAGGAGAGTTGTGTTTTGATTTGACATGGAGTTAAATTTGTGAAATGAAAAACTGATGTAATAAAGTCTTTTTGTAAAAAATCAAAAAAAATCTCTCTCTCTCTCTCTCTCTCTCTCTCTCTCTCTCTCTCTCTCTCTTTCTCTTTCCAGACACTGCAGATGGGGATTCGTCACTTCTCAGGGTTATTTGTGTTGCTGTGTGTTGGTGTGACTGGGGCCTTACTTACTCTGGCAGGAGAGCATGCCTTCTATCGCCTGGTTCTTCCACATATACGCCGCAAACAGAAGTTCAAATACTGGCTTCATACTAGTCAGGTGAGCCATGAGCCTAATTTAGTTCATTCTTTCATCCACCCGTTGTTTTCAAATCAATTTGCCTTGTTTATCTTGTAAAACATAAAAAGAAATGCTTTGCAGAATGTTCAAGCTACATTTTCCCCTAAAAATCAGAGTGAATGGTCACGTGTTTTCAGAACAATTAAGACCTCTTTTGTGATATATTTATGGTGTGTTTTTTCATGTTTGTTTTTATTTTTTTTTTCTAAATATCTCCTTGTGATCCAAAAATAACACAAACACACACACTAAAAAAACACTTTTACTGCTTGCTACCTACAGTATTTAAATGAGTTGAAACAACACAAATCTTAAGTTTGTTTTGGCACAACTTAATTGTTTTATGTTCAATCTACTTAAATTTGTGAAAATAATTAAGATTTGTGTACAAATGTGTACACTATACACTGTACAAAAAGCCAGCATTTTGTACAGTGCAGATTTAAGGGTAAGTGTACAGGAACCACATTTTAAAAGCATACAGAACTATCTCTTTAAATACCAATGATGTTTCTTATTGTCTGGGCTGTTTTTCTGTTAAAATTTAGAGTTGCCCAATTTATTATTTCATCAAAATGTTTCCTTTCTTTAATCCGCTGATAACTAAGATTAAAACTGACTCTTTTTTTCACAGGGCAAAGCTTTGACTGTGTAAATGAGTTGTGCTTGTTCTCTCAGGGTCTTATAAACTATACTGTCTCTAAAGGGGTGGAGAGGGATTACTGCCAAACTGAGTCAGTAATTGCCATCTCTGAAATATTGATTTTTAAAATCAAAAGCATCATGTTGATCTTTCCCATTGAGCCCTTGCTGAGACAAATCCCTTTTACTTTTCTCGTTTATTTATTTATTTATTCATTTATTTTTCAGAAAATCCACAGAGCACTGAACATGACTTACGAGGATGTGAAACGGCAGCGGGCAAACACAGAGAAAAGGTTTTGTCTTTGTTTTATTTATCTGTTTTATAAGCATCAGAATTGTCCATATTACAACTGATGAAATCACTTTTCACTTTGAATATCTTAAATCCATTTTGGATTATGAATATTTATTTTCTATTATCTTATATATTTTTTCCATTATCAGTTATCATTTTGGAATAAAATTTTAAGTTATATCTGGTTTTAGATTATTTTTTTTATTTAATATCATTCCAAAATTTAATGATAGCCTGGGGAATGTGCCGACATATAGCGACAATGTGCTTTGGGCATGCGGATTCCGAATCCCTTCTCCCTCTTTATCTCTGTCTCTAACTTTGCTCCCTGTCTAGCAACTGTCCAGTCATTTATAACGAAACAAAAAATCTATTCAATAAACCTAAAAATCTATCATATCATTGGTAGTGTTAGTATGATTTACACTATTAAATTACATACAGGTCAAGTCCAGTGTTGCCAGATTGGGTGGTTTTGAATTTGATTGTGGAGGTAGAAAATGCCGTAGGCGGGTAGACAAAATTTGGGTGTAGAAAAGTAATTCAGTTAGCAGTGACCAGTGCATAGCGCAAACCACGTGGGTCCACCCGCAAATGGAGGTAAAATAAAGTTGTATCAAAATCTGACTCCCGAACAAATCTGACTACCATTCACGTGCATGCGCATCACACAGCGCCTGCAGTTAAACTCACAGTGGTTTATCATAACACTTTAATTGATCTTTTTTATGTGTTGTCTGATTGACAAGGAATACCTAATTATGTTTAAAAGAATTTAAAATGCCAAATAGGACGAATTAATACCCTATTTTAAAAAGTTACTATCATTCAACCAGCATTTTTTTTTTTTTTTTACCAGAAATGACTAGGGACGGGTACTGAAACTCGGTACTTTATCGGTATCAGTGCTACATAATAAAGAGCAAAGTATCGATAAGCTCTGATGTTAACAGTTCTGCTATCGGTACTGGTGAAATATTGCTAAATAAACATTACTTACAGTAGCCTACTTTAACTGACCAACCTTTTCTAATATACAACATTTGATATTCGTCTGCACAGTTGTCAATCTCACATGAGAAATGCTCGTGTTTCAGGTGAGCGCGTTAAATATAAAAGTCTTCACAGTTCTTTTAAATTTTCAACTGCAGGGAGCACAATAAACTAAGAAAGATCCCGACTTTTGTTAGAAAAGGCAAACATGTTGATTTTTCTCCAGAAGAATGGTTAAAACAGCATCATTTTACCAAGCGTCTTTTTTAATCTGGGGTCGCCACAGCGGAATGAACTGCCAACTTATCCAGTAAATGTTTTACCCAGCAAATGCCCTTCCGCAACCCATCGCTGCGAAGCATCCATACATACTCATTCAGACTTATACACTACGGACAATTTAGCCTACCCAATTCACCTGCACCGCATGTTTTTGAACTGTGGGGGAAACCCACATGAATGCTGGGAGAGCATGCAAACTCCACACAGAAACGCCAACTGACTCAGCGGCTCGAACCAGTGACCTGCTTGCTGTGAGGCGACAGCACTATCTACTGTGTCAATGCATAGTCGTGGCAAAATTATTTTTGTTATACTTTTAGTTATGTGCTTGAGGTAGGTCAATTTATTTTTATGCTTCTGATTTTCACGCCCAGTCTTGCGTGTGTGTTGTTTTCATCATGTGACCTTCACCATGTGCTCCTTTGTTCCAGTTCGCGCCATGTGTTTATGTCAACCATCTTCACCTGTGTCTCATCCCTGTGTCTAATCATTGTCATCATCCACTGTGTATTTATAGTCCTTTGTTTCCTTGAGTCCTTGTCGGGTATTCTCTCTACGTTGATGTCTGTCTTCATTCCATGGTCTTCCTGAGTTCATCTCCGTAAGTGTTGTAAATAAAAATACGTGTTTTGATAATCCTGAGATCCCGTGCCTTCTTCAAGTAAACCCGGGTGTTACACTGATAAAGTAGCATTCAACTTGAAGAGCCATTTATGGCTCGTTTTCACTGAGAGGTACAGTACATAATGGTTCGGGTCGGTACAGGTCATCTTTATCAGGCTTGCGTTTCCACTACCAAGGGTACCCTTTTTGTGGGCGTGGTGTACGACAGAGTTTAAGTCGACGTCATTCTTGCTCAAATAAATGTCAACAGTAAAGCTGTACAGGTTGTTCACAAATCATATGAGAAACACTTCTCACAAAACAGATGCTTCATACACCTTGTTTATTATTAACCTTTCTATGAACATGATTTCATTATAACTGCAGATCAATGACAGGCTAATACAGTAGGCTATTTTGTACTATGTCTGCAATTATATAAAATAAATGCAACATTTATAAACACCAACAATCCCCTTACAGTCTCTGTTACCAACTACAGAAAAACTCCACACAACAGACATTTAGTCCTTATTTAGGTTTACAAACACCACGCAACATAGCCCACAGTCGGTGCAAACCTTTCATCTGTGTCTGTAATCTTCACCAAATTTACCAGAAATTTAAAATATGGAGCAATCGCTCTCTTTTTAAAAGTCTAATCATCTTGTTTAATCCTACCCCTTTTCGCAGCGCCATACGACAGAATTTCGCAAACTCAATCTCTAGTGTGACCTGCCGATTCACTCTCGCATTTGTCAGTTTCCGACAAGATCGGGTTTCAAAAGCACGTCAATCAAGTGCACGTTATTATCAGCTCAAGAAGTTTCTTATTTCAGATATAGACGCGTACATGAGCGCAAACAAGAAAGCGAAACCGCTTGCGCTTCAGACTGACTCGTAAAAAACAGGGGCAAAGAAAAAGGGGCACAGGGTAAATCTGCTCTTCTTTTTGGCTTTGTGGCTGTTCATCAAGACCATGACATGATTTGTTTGAGCCCATATCGACCATGGCTCGTTATTATATGTATTTACGCTGTAAAAGAGCTCTCAGCTGTGTATTTTAAACATTGCGGCTCTTTTGATTTAAGTCTGGCTTGTTACTTAAGGGAATGACGTTTCTCTGTAAACCAATATCATTCAGCTGCGAGTCTAGCTCTGCCTTTTGGTAACCTTTCTCGTGTTTGGTACCCTTTCAAAAGGGTGCCGAAAAATTGGTACGGTTCGGTTCGGTACGCCTTTTGAAAGTGGAAACATCTATAAAAGCAAGTAATATAAGAAAGAAAGAAATATAATCAACAAAGAAAATGTAAATGAAAACCGTAAATAAAAAGCTT